GCTTTACAAAAACATGAAATAAATTTTAATCATTTCATATTAATGTTCTTGATTCCTTTTCTACCATTCTCTTTAAATATGCATGGATAATAGTGTGTAATAAGGAAGCACAGGCTGAATAAGAATCAGGGGTCCTTCTGATTCTCGTTTTTGAGGTATGGGTAGGCCAATGCTCTCAAATGGCCTCATTGGGAACTAATATCCTACTTGGAAGGTAAAACATCGTCAGTGCTATTGGAAAAGAAGTAAATAATAATCGCCCAAAAACTATGTATTTTAAGGTGTGAGCCTCACAAAGGAAGATTTTCTCCTCCAAATAGAGGAGAAAAATGATAAAGGCCAAACAAATTCTGCTTGTGAATAAATGATTCTTTAATAATTGTTTTCCTTTTATCTAATATAGTATTATAACAAGATGCATTGTTCTATATGACAGCTGGGGCTCAGGTGTCAAAAAGGGAGTAAAATTAAAGTATTTATATTTTAGGACATGTGAGCACAAAAGATAAGGTTCTTTCTCTTATCTTTTAATTTTGGACATTTCTTTGGTATTTTAATCATATTCTGCTGCTATCCTTAGCATAAAAGATAAAAAAAAAATACATTTGCAGAACTATCACTGTCTTGTCCAAATTCTGTGAGACGGGGTCTCGCTCTTGCTCAGGCTGGTTTCGAACTCCTGACCTCGAGCAATCCGCCCGCCTCAGCCTCCCAGAGAGCTAGGATTACAGGAAGATGTATGGTTTTTATGGTATGACCTTATGTATTTGTACCATATATACCCTCTCTCCCACCAGGTTATAATGTATATTATTAATATTAGCATAAAGGAAATGGTTGCACCGCTACAGATGTGCGTATGGAGTGGGGACAATCACAGGGACCTTAAATGGGCTCAGTTCAGATACTAGTCCACATTTAGGTATGGGAGGATTTCCTTTCTTCATCCCCACCATGTCATGAGGGCTCCAAGGCCCTACCTACCCTTCTTTGGGCAGTTAAAAGGGAGGTTACCGACATGGAGAAGTAGACAAAATCTGCCAACGTCTGAATCATTTCTGCAAGGTGGTCACCAAGCCAAGTACTGGCTGCTGTCAAAGGATGTTCTCCCTGGAGTTGCTGACAGGAGGGTGGAGCATTGATGCAAGCCCCTAGGCCCAGGCAGTGGACATTGCCCACTCTAGTGGCAGCTGGGCTATCTGCAGAGCCAACTCAGCTTCCACAGCTCCTTAACTTTCAAATAATTCTCTTCTCAATGACCTTGGAAGCCCTATAGTCTTCCTCATTATTGGGTAGTCCCATTGATCTCTCTGCTTTCAGGGCCTTTCTCCATCCCGCTCTTTTCTCCCCACACCTGGAGGGAATCTTTTTTAATGTTGGAAGGGAACTCCACTCTCCTCAAACTCTACTTTCTCTCTAACATTTTTGGCTATATTCCAAGTCCTTCTATTCTGCTTAAGGCCTAGGCTTTTGAAAACAAAGATGGGAAGACTTCTTACCTCCTATATTTTTCCCTATAAATTTGTAAGATAGCTAATATTACCCAGCCTTCCTGAAAAGCCTGCACTGCACCTACCTCACCAGATTTTTCCTTACTCTAGATGCTTTCTTTCAGTTCCTTAACTGATTCAGGCTCCCTCCCTCCCAGAGCCTTTGTCCAGATAGTCTTCTCCCTCCCCTAGTCTCCCTTGCCTAGTAAACTTCTATTTATCATTCAAATCTTCAGTTTTTCCTGGACCTTGAGACTAGGTTGAATTCCCATATTATACAATTTTATAAAAGTAGGTGCCACTCCTTCAGAGTATTTATTGCAGTTGAATGTTGTATTCGTTTGTGTCATTATTGAGTAATGTTTGCTTCCCCCTACTAGACTGCCCATTCCATGAAGACAGGGATTTTTTTTTCACTCTTACCAGTAAATCCTCAGTGCCTAGCATAATGAGCTTGATAGGCCTTGCTGAATACAGTCATTTTTTTTCCTCACTACAATCCAGAGTCACTAGGATTGAACCAATTCTATTTGTGCAAACCTCCTCAGTAACTAAATAAATTAGGTAAGATCAATATGGATTTCCTAAAGATTTAGCATGATTTCTCTAACAGAATAATTCGATCTGGAAGACAATGATCAAATATGGAAAAAGGGCTCAAAGTTGAAATTCCACAGCCTAAGTACAACTAGATGTTGTAAAAAGTTGTTAGCCTTGTAGTAGAACTAAATTGCACATAGTACAGTTTGTGAATGAAGAAATTTACTTTTTAAAACAAATTAAGCTTTACTTAGTCCCAAGTCCCCATTTCCATTCGGCAGCAGAAAAACAACAAACTTAATTTTTCAATTTAGATATAACTAAGTGTCTTTTGGTTTAAAGCTTAATTTCTTCTTGGTAATTATCCAGGCATTGTAGCATTTAAACTCTTCTCCAGCATGACCTCAGGGTGCCAGTGCAGCACTTGTTATACACAGGAAGGGCAGAACAAAACAGGAAACTAGTCAATATATGGTGTGTGGAAATAACTCTCTGCAAAGCACTCCAAGTAGCTGAGAAATGGATGCAATTCTGGATCTTTTTTTGGGAATGGTTCCTCATTTGGGCAGGTAGTGACATGAAAATGGCTGTTATCTCTGTGCCGAGTTACCTGTTTCATAATATGGAAAATAAGGTGTGGTACCAGCTAACAACACAGGCAGTAACCGTGCATTAACAGCTAAGAGAGTTTAGTGGTTTACAAAGAGGAAGTTAGAAGAAAACAAAACAATAATCTCACCTTTATTTCTAATACAGGAAACAAGACTACCTATATCTTTTCATTTAATTCTTCAAGTAAGCAAATATTTAATCAAATCAACAGCCTACAATATATCTAACAGGTACTCCTGGGGATAAAGGGATTGCATAACAGTCCCAACTTTAAAAATACCCAGTATGTTATCGAGATTTGACAACTAAGAAAAAATAAGCAAATGGAGTAAAGTAGGCTCTTATTCTTTTGATTTTTCTTCTTGACACAATAGCTAAAAGTTGTCTGATCAAGGAAGCAGACTCCTTTGGACTTAAATTGGTCTAATGTTTGAAGATGAACATGTTATTTATAGTACACTAAACCAGCAAGTCTAGTTTTTCACCAATTCAAAATTATGCTATAGTTCCTGTTTTACCTGGCAAGGAATTTTCTAGCCTTGTGGTGACGGCGAGATGTTCAACAAGGAGAATCACAGGAAGAGATTCTTAGTTCCAGAATTTGCAAGTCAAATTTAGAAACTATCTACTTCAGTTCAGGCCAGCAACATAACCACGTAAAAGAAGTTAAAAAAGTCTGAGCCTAGATGTTTTGTTCAATATATAAACGTGTATATTTAATCAATTCTCTATTAGAAACAAATAGTTTTCAATCTGTTGTTTTTGTTTTATGCCATTATAGAATCACAGTCTTTTATCTGTGGTTCTGAAATACAAAAAACTCTTGAAAACTTTTCTGTAACCCAAAAGCTGACCTGACATGAACTTATTTGGCACTAAAACCTATGAAGCTATTAAGCTATTTGTAATCTTCGCATATCTGACTTCATGTATTTATGTTTCGCTGCAAAATTATTAATGTTTGGATGTGGGATGCTGTCCTAGTACCCCTTGAGGGTGTTATCTAATATAGAGTATATTATAGAAATTATTTATTATATAAAAATATATTAAATCTTTTTTCAAATCTGAGAAATTCTGAATTTTGAAACACATATGCCCCCAGGGTTTTGAATATGGGTCCATGGAACTATATACTTTGGAACAAATGTCATTAACATTTTTGTTTTGTCAGAATAAATTTGTATCCTGACAAAATATGTATACATATTAAATCAGATTTCCTGGGTTTGAATCCTAGTTCTGTCATTTATTAGCTGTAGCTATACTTAAATTTTCTCATAAGATGGGGATAAGAGAGTATATTGTGAGGATTAAATGAGGTAACACATGTAAAACACTTAGAACAATGTCTGGCAATTAGTATTTAATATATGCCAGCTATAATTATAGTAACAGAAGAGTGTACCAATTTATAACCAATTTATCTAATAGTGCACCCATTTCCCTATGCTCTTGTCTATGTTTGGTACTATCATTCTTGCCTAATGTGACAGGCCGAAATAAAGATCCCATTGTTTTGTTGCATTTCTTTGATTTCTATTGATGCTGAAAATATTTTCATACTTTTATTAACCATTAGTATTTTTATACTCAAGTTTTTCTTGAGTGTTACACTTTAAAAAAGATCAAACTCATTACAAGATTATTAAAATCTTTACATTTGCCTCTATTTTTTCTAGTATTTGCAAGCTTGTTCATTTGTTTCTTCATTCTTATCTTCTTTTTCAGAGTTTAATCCTTTTAGATTTCATTTTGGTGTCTGATTTAAAAAATAAATGTTATATAGTTAGCCAATTGCCCCAATACCAGTTACTGAATAAACCATCTTTTTACTATTTATTAAAAACTCTATTTTTTATCATATACTAAATTCTGGGTCTTTTTCTAGATATAGTATTCTTTTGATTGATCTATTAATTCTTTGCCCACACCATATTCTTTTGACTTCTGGTAGGTCAAATACTCCCTTATCATTTTGATTTTTCAAAAATTTCTTATACATTGATACACATTTATTCCTCCAGATGAAAACTGGAATTATTTTGGAAAGTTTTCAACAAAACAGCATTGGGATTTTGATAGGAATTAACTTGAGGGAAACTGACATAGTTCAATATTGAGTCTTCCCATTTCTTCAAGGATATAAAGTGTTCCCATTTCTTCAAGCTGTATATTTCAGAAACTTTAAAAGTCCTTGCTAATAGCTACAGCTGAAATACACATGCCCTTTCAGTTTTTAGCAAATAGGAAACTAAATTGATTAATATGTGAATACCTTTATTGGTGCTAAGTAGTTGTTATGGACTGAATGTTTGGGTCCCCCCCCAACCTCATCCCCAATGTGATGATATCCGGAGATGAGGAGGTAATTAGGATTAGTTGGGGTCCTCATGATGGGATTAGTGCCTTTACAGGAGACACTAGAGAGCTTGCCTTTTCTCCAAGCTCACACGAATAGGTCATGTGAGCACACAGTAAGAAGGTGTAACCCCTGGTGCCCCAGAGATCCAGCCTGCCACTGGACTCTGAATTTGCAGGCAGATGTGTGGTACTGCTTCCTAAAATGCCAACCTCTCTGCCTATCCCTACCAAGCTGGAGCCCCTACTAAACCAGCAATTGAAAATGGCTTCTCTTAACATCTAAGGTATTTGCTTGGAAAGTTCTCCTTCAACTCTCCCTTTCCTCTTTTCCTCCCACTTCCAATTAATCTGCTTTGTATACAGTGAAAGGGAGGTTTGAGATTTGATCTCAGGTCCAAATGAGAAGCTAGGCCTTGATTTACTCATTGTCCTATTTTATCCTGAACCAAACCGTTCACTAGTAGTTCAGTAGCCATTCATTGGTAGTGAAACAATGTCCCCAATTGAACATAAGACTTGTTCTTAATGAAGCAGAAAAAAGTAAGACTAGTAGTTATTGAAACAGTAGGAATTTATAACACAAGAACAATGAAAATAAAGCTACATTTAATTGAAAAACAGATTATACATCACGTTGTTTTTTGAAAAGACAAGTGACATTTTAATCATAACTTTTTATTGATTGTTCATAGAGACGATAAATCAGGAGCAAGATATGTAGCAGTGATTGTTTATGTCCTAGGAAAAGTTAATTTCTAAAATTTTTGTTCTATAAACTGTTTAAATCTATACATCTTATAAAGTACACAGAAGAGTGCACATTAACAACTTAAAGTTATCTCTGAATTTAAATCTGCAGGCATTTTTTCTTACTCTTATAACAGCTTTGTCTAATTTTATCATATTTAGCTATATTTACGCCTCAGAAGTACTTATAGTAAGAAATGGATCATGTCGTATGGGGGGAAAAGTGAGTGTTTTTAGCCCTTTGGAAATATTAAAGTTATTTTAAATATTTTCAATAGATCTACACTTGAACCTCATATCATAGAGTGTTATAGAATTAACAAATTGTATGATATCCCAGTATTTCATTAGTAATAGTGTTCTTAGGAGAGATGTTGTGAATATGCTATCAGCATGGATCCAGCATATTCTCTGAAATATTAAATATTTTGCCCTCAGTCCCCTAAGTCAAGGAAAAAAATATTAATAACAGCATTTTCTTTTATAGAGTACAGGTAAGGAGTGTTACAGTATATAGTTAGAGAAATGCTGACTAGGTGACAGGGAACTATTGAATTTTAGTTTTGGCTCTGAGATATTAACCAAATCATTTAATCTTTCTAGGTTTTAATTTCCTCATCTGTAAAAATAGAGATAATTCTTATGTCATAGAATAATTGGAATGATTAAATGCAACAAAATAGCATCAAGTGGAGAAAAAAAGAAAAAAATTATTGAGAGGTCAATATATGCCAGGTACTATAGTTACAAGTGGGGCTCTTAAGAGCTCCTTTAGGGCCATGATTGTACCAAATTAAAATTTTAAATCATATCATTAGTAAAATGCTTTTAAATAATCCATATTTCATTCAAAATAAATTTAACTTTAATACATTTTAAAAGGCTAATGATTACTAAATCTCAAAAGTAGAATAAATCAACAGTTGGAAAATAAAAATGCTTTCTATATTTCTTTCCAATGTGTCATCTTTTGGTTGGCCAATAATAATTCATAACAAAATAATCTGCATGTTTTACATTAAAAAAATACTTTTCAAAGGGAACCCTAAATTAGCTGTAATAAGTTAAATAAGCATACTATTTAAAATTTAAATTTTACAATGGAAAGTCTGACACATTGTTACAATTTTCTACTGTCTAAAGACTATTTTATAGATGATATTAAATAATCTCATACAATATTTTAAAACATTCTGTAGACAAAACTTCCTCCAACAGAATTTTAATTCAAAATGTTATCCATTAAATTTTGGGAAAAAACAATTAAATATATCAAAATATGCTGAAAGGACATTTACTTTTTACTGAAAATAAAATTCAGTGAAATCAAGAAAACAATTAAGCCAGGCATGGTGGCTCATGCCTGTAATCCTAGCACTCTGGGAGACCAAGACGGGTGGACCATTTGAGTTCACAAGTTCGAGACCAGCCTGAGCAAGAGTGAGACCCCCATCTCTACCATAAATAGAAAGAAATTAATTGGCCAACTGATATATATAGAAAAAATTAGCCGGGCATGGTGGCGCATGCCTGTAGTCCCAGCTACTCGGAAGGCTGAAGCAGCAAGATTGCTTGAGCCCAGGAGTTTGAGGTTGCTGCCACAACACTCTAGCCTGGGCAACAGAGTGAGACTCCATCTCAAAAAAAAAAAAAAAAAAAATGAAAGAAAGAAAATAATAAATATTATAGATTAAAAGCTTCATCAATTAAAATCAGAAAAAATATCTAAGCACCACTGTTAAAATATAAGTTTAATAAATGTTTCAATAATATATTTTTCTATTAAACACATATATACATGTAAATATCTAGGAAGAATCCATATCTTTTTGTAAAAAAAAAAACCTGATAGGGTCATAATCTTTCATTTGACCTTATATACAAATAACTTGAAAGTAGTAAGATACGTATTTTTAATCATTTTGGTATATGATAATTTCTTTAGTAAAGATAATTTCTTTAATTTTCTTAATTTTGGTATATAATAATTTCATAATTTCTTATTAGAAAGTTTACCTACTTATGAGAAAAATTATTTAAAATCACTTTAATATTTTGATGCTAAAAAGTCTAGTTAGAATACATACGGCATATATATATATCTTTATAAAAATATCTAAGCTATTGATAGGTATTTTGTTTCTCAGCCTAGGTAGGTAAGTTAAAGTATTCTAGAACATAATCTTAACTAAAAAAAAAAAAAATAGCAATCAACAATTCAATGTGGATAAATATCAGATAGTTAAAAGAATTTCTTGTATGTTTGACATATACACCATATGTGTCAAGTATAAAGCCTCTGAATTACATTTTCTACTCTCCAAAATTGTATTAAATAGAAATTTGTAATTTTTATTTATTTAATCATTATTTACTAGGGAATTTGCTATTCGGTCCAAAGACTTTTGTAATTAAACCAAAGATTACTAGTTTTTCATTTTTTATGTAGTAGGTATTTTTCCTTCACATACCTTATTATAGTAAAACACATCAGGAAAAGCTATTAATCTTCAGATGTAGTACAACAAATAATTACTTAGGTGACAAAGAGTTAATACAATTTTCAAGGTCCGCCAAAGAATCATGAAGTCCATCACTCATATCTTGACTTCTAAGAAATTTTTTAAGAGTATCTAAAGCAGTTATTGCATCATTTTTTGATGGTAATGGGAGTTCAGTTCCTAGAGATCCACCATCATCTTCTTCATCAGAAGTATAAAATCCAGTTTCATCTGATTTACTTTCTTTGGTCAAGACTGTATCGTCATCTGGTGCTGCTTCACACGTCTCCAAATCATCATCCAGTGCAGCATATTCTTCTATTGATAAACCTTCAGGAAATTCCACCCCTGCCCCCAGAGCATCGGCAACCAAGTCGATACTAGTATCCTTCTCTGCTTTTGTTGTGTCACTTTCTTCCTTTTGCAACTTGAATCCTGCCTCTTCATAGCTTTTAATAATAGTCTCTGGGGTTACAGCCCTCCAACACAGATGTAATGTATCAACTGCATCTAGTAGTGAAAATGTAAATTCTTTGCTGCCTTCAACAGAGCTTAAAAATTTCTTAATGAGACAATGTCGGTATCTGATTTTAAGGTTTTTAATAACACCTTGTTTCATAGCTATAAATTTAGAAGATAAACATGATGGAAAGAATGCTAACTCAATGGACTTTAGGTTTTTTACCTCTGGATGTGCGGGAAAAGATTCAACAAAAATCACCACTCTTCGTTGCTGGGCTTGAAATTTCTCATCAAGCTTCTGCATCCATTGTTCAAATACATCTGAGGTCATCCATGCCATTCTGTTAGCTTCATAATACACAGGCAATGATTTTATACCTTTGAAACAATGTGGATTTCTGTTTTTTCCAATGATAAGCAAAGGAAGTTTCTCTGAACCATCCATGTTTGTGCCGACCACAAGAGTTATTCTGTCTCTGCATAACTTTCCAACTGAGCATGTTTCTCCTTTAAATGCAAATGTATTTGTAGGTAACATTCGATAAAGCAGCCCAGTCTCTTTTATATTAAAAACATTTTTAGGATGATAATCATTTAAATAATAAGGAAGTACATTTTGGCACCAGACAGTTGAAGGGTCTACTGATATACCTGTAGCTTCTACAGGTTGAGCTCTGAATACTAAACCATACCTGGATTTAAAACGATCCAGCCAACCATTACTGCACTTAAAATCATTATGACCCAGTTTCTGGGCAAAATCATTAGCTTTTAGACGCAACATTGGACCATTAACCGGTACATTTAGACACTGAGCAATTCGATACCATCTCATTAATGCCTCTTCCAGATCTGTGTAAAAAGCAGTTCTCAGTCTTTTCCTCTTTGGATCAAATCTTAGAGATTCAAAGGCTTCTAGAACTTTGTCTTTATTCTTCATAATAGAAGACAATGAATTCTTCTTTATTCCATATTCAGCTGCAATCTCTGCTTTTTTCTTGCCACTTTCCACTGCATTTATAATGTCGATCTTTTCCTCAATGGATAGGCTTTTCTTTTTTTTCACTGTTACCGGCAGAGTTGAGGCATCCACAGAAGCTTCTGCCATCTCAATCAATGCTTATGTAGAAATCTTTCTTCTTACTTACTGGTGTCTATTTCTTTAATTACATTTGTTTAACAGTATGATATAGTTTGCTCCTTTCAATCCTACCTCATATATTAAAAGTTGGTAAGTATCTAATCGTCTTATTCTTCAGGAAATTGGTGACTGTACTTTTTCAAAGGTTCTGAGGAAGAAAAATGTTATATGCAACTAGAATATTTCAAAAGAGAAACTTCCTTCCTAAAACCTTGTGTAGCTAGCTCAGTTTATAGTTTATTCCAGAGTTCTAGAAGTCAAACTAAAATAGAAATCTCATTATGTCAAACCTGTCCAGTCCTGCTGATATATTTTTGGAACTTCAATCCTTTAAGATGATCCATTTTATCCATGCACACATTCAACCTTCTATTAATTCTCCACAGAAGGCCTCAGAGATAAGAAGAAAAAATGTTCAGAAATTTTCATGCCAAATGTTACCCATTAATTTCCAAGTCTCTTCATGGTAAAGAAGAAAATGATAGAATCCTCCTAGAACTTGCCAGCAAATATTCTTCTGTCTCTTGAAAAAGTAAAAAAAAAAGAAAAAGAAAGCAGCAATTTTAGGATATGTCAAATGAATATCAAAAAGAATATTTATACCAATTATTATGCTCTTAATAATGAAGACAATGGGAATGTGTTTCTGAAAATATAATAATCAAAGTTTCCAGGAGAAATGCTTACCTTCTGAAGGGCCTCTCTCTGAAAAGCTCTCTGGCTCTGCCCTACGCATTTGAATTCTCACTTGCCTTTTAATACTTTATAATATATAGTTCTGAAATAAATCAGACAAATTTAATCTGTTTTGAAAATGTGGGCCTACCAAAATTAAAGAACTAAAAATGATGCTGGATAGATCCTTGGTGGCTATTTTTTACATGAGGTCACAGACTGCACCCTCTAACTTCTCTAAAAGAAAAACATAGTCAGACAGTAGTCACAAGGTTCAACTTTTAATAGCACATGGGAGATAGTGTCTCCTTTATAGAAACTGCTTCACTAACAAATCAAGTGATTGATACTTCCATTTTAAAAAATCTAAATCTCATTCTACCTAAAAGTTAATAAACCCAGTAAGTAACTCTTGTATTCATTTACATAGTAGCCAAATGTACAGAGGCTAGAAATACTTGACAAAATTCATAGGAATAAACAAGTTTTTAAGAGAATATAATGTAGAAAAAGATATAGACTAAGAGGAAAAAGAAGAGTGATCATGAGTCTTAACCTCTCAGGACCTCTACTTTCTATCTATAAAAAAAAGATGCCAGCAGATCAAAATTGAGAAGTGACTCTGCTCTTTAGTACTTATGTGATCCTAGGTCATTTATTTACCCATTTGAAGCCTTAGCTCCCTTATATGTAAAATGGGGGTAACTATAGCAGCTATCTCACAAGGTTATTGCATATTCAATGACATTCAATGAGACAGTGTAATGCACTTAGCACAGTATTTAGCACCTCAAGAAAGTGCTCAACAAGTATATGGTAATGATGTCATCATCATTATTGTCTTTCTTATGTCCTTTGGGTGTGTGAATCTTCAATTCAAAAAATTTTATAAAATCTTACTTGCAAATAGAAGAAGAATCCCACTACACACACACACACACACACACACACACACACACACACACACACACTGAAAGTAGGTCCTGAGACTTTAAGAGTAGGTTTCTTAAGCCATGAGAACAATCACAAGGCCCCATGTGGGCTAACTTCTGCTTTCCCCTTCAGCACTTCCCTTACCAGAATCTATCAGCTTTGGGTCAGGATAACAATAAGCTCATTTATGAGTGGTGTTACTACTGTGTTAAGAATGCAGGCACTCCATTCCTCCTGATGCGCTTCCAGGTTTCCCAGATGACACATGCCATTTTTGCACAAGATTTTTTTGACAAAAGTTTTTGCCAAAAAAAGGACCTACCTTTCTGTGTTTTGTTTTTGCCTATCAGAATGGCAGTATCAAGTGTTTGACAGGGTATAGTAACATAGGTTGTTAGGAGGCACATAAATTGATACAAAGCTTATGGAGGGCAAATTAGCAATATGATACAAAAACCTTAAAAATGTGGATACTTCTTATCTAGCAAGTCCATATCAAAGATTTTATCCCATAAGAATAATTATAGATATAAAAATAATTTCTTACAAATGTGATTAGTTTTCTATTGCTATGTAACAAATTACCATATATTCAGTGGCTTAAAACAATACCCATTTATTATCTCACTGTTCTGTAGATCAGAAGTCCAGGTAGACTCAACTGGGTCCTCTATTTAGGGTCTCACAAGGCAGAAACCAAGATGTCAGTCAGAGGATGGGGTCTTATCTGAAGGCTCTGGGGAAGAATTTGCTTCCAAGCTCTATCAGGCTGTTTGCAGAATCCAGTTCCTTGCTGTTGTAGGACTGAGGTCCCTAGTTTATTTGCTGTAGCCCTCTTCATTTCAGCAACTGAGAACTTTCCTCCTGTAGAATCTCTTTGAAACTCTGAATCTCTTTGACTTCTACTGTCACCAGCAGAAACTCTGCTCTTAAAGGGCTCATGTGATTAGGTTAGGTCCAGCCAGATTATCTCCTTTTTAATTAACTCAACGTTAACTGATTAGTAACCTTAATTACATCTGCAAAATCCCCTTGCAAGTAACATAGCATAATCATGAAAGTAATATTCCATCATGTTCAGAGGGGAGGGAATCATATGAGGTGAGAGTCATTGGAAGTCATCTCAGAATTCTGCCTACCACACAAGAATATTTCTCACATTGTTATTATATAATTATAGACAAAACTGGAAATCACTAAATGTGAAACAAAAGGTTTAATTAAACAAATTAAGGAATATTTATATGCTGAAATTCTATTTAGCCACTGAAGGAGAATATTTACTGATATAAGAAAAATTCCATGATATATTAAGTGGAAAAAGCAAAATACAGAACTATATTTCAACAAATATAACATATACTAAAAATTACACGAGAGCAGAAGCTCATGGCTATTCCTACAGAGCCCACTGCCAGCAAACAGCAAGTTCTCAATAACAATTTGTTAAATAAATGAAGAAATACATATCTATACATATATAAAGAAAAAAACATTGAACAAATGTTGAATGCACCCTCTAGATAACTGTATTATGCATAAATTAATTTTTTTCTCTTTAGAGTTAAAAACATTTTTATAACTATAATGTTCTACTTTGGCACTAGATTGTTTTTTTAGAAATCAGCATTAGGAAACATAAGGCTGGCATTCTTCCCATTCAAGATTTCTAGAGATAGTAAGTTATTCTCCTTTTATCAGTAGTTCACAGTCCTTTACAGAGACTCAAACACTTTCCAAACTTAAGCAAGCACTCATTCATTGTCTTCCACAAATAGATGGCAACCATGTCCACTTAATCCTGCTTGTACCATTACCCCAAGTAGCAGCAGTTGCTGGTATTCTGGAACTTGTCTGGTGTGCAACAGACAACATATTTCTATAACCCAAGCAGAGACAGTCTGATAGTTTCCTATGAAAGAATCATATGAGCCCAAAGTTCAGTTTTCCAAAAAGGATCTTATTTATCATGGGAAACAGCTATGCAGAGAAAGTGGTATAAAGCAGACTAAAATGGGGGCTCAAATTAAGGGCTGTGGGATCAAAGAGGAGAGAAAAATGAATTCTCACAGGGAGGATAAAGAATGGGTTCATGATAGAAGTAGCATCTGAACTCAACCATAAAAGATGGATAGGTACATGGCAAGTAAGGAGAGCTAGAAAAATATTTCCACTAAAAAGAATAGAAAGTAAAGCATGGAGAGGGGAAATTACAGGGTAGTTTGAAGCATACTAACCAGTTGTATGTAACTAAAGCCTCATATTGATATTGTTATCTATACCTTCATCAATTAGTTGGCTAAATGAGCACTTTTCCTCCAGATATAAAAAAAGAGAGGGTTTATTTAGTTGACTATACCCTGTACACACTGGACTGCAAGACTAGGGTTACACCTTGGTAAGCTCTGAATGCCAGGATAAGGAATTATGCTACAAAGCCATTCAAGGTTTTTGACTAGAAGAACGTCAGGGTCACATAAGAAACTTTCCCCAGTTATCAGAATAAATGCATAAGAAAACGTTGCTGCTTTTAGAAAGAACCGATACTAAGAGCCTTAATATCACTAAGTTCAACAAGTATACAAGTATAGTCTCTACATAACTTAATGAAGTTGTACATGTACACACTATAATTTTTTTTAATGTAAGAAGTCCTAGTAATTCACACTGTACACCTTCACTTTGTACCTTACTTATCTGGGAATTTTGTAAAATGTTCCATTCTTCAGTATCCTCTAATGAAGGATTTGCTTCCCGAGGATTACACTGTGTGATCTGCAACCTAAATCTCTCTCCATAAAACGAGAACTACTGATAAAGAGCAATTAAATTTTTTGAGACATCACCAGAATTCCCATAGAAAAGATCTGAAGGTAGCATCTTCTTCTTTCTCTTGAAAAAATAACGTTGATAAGCAGTATAAAGTTATTCAACATTTAAATCAGAGATATATGGTTGTTTGCACATTTAATTCATTCAGAAAGGAATAAAAACAATATCCTTTAACCTGTTCCCTCCTTTCCTTCATGGTCACTGAATAAAAGACAGACTACTAGAGTTCCTCACAAACTCAGTGAATAAATAGTACCTGATTTTTCAAAAGTTGAATAAACAGCCAATAGTAGTACAAAGATAAATGAATAGATTATCTCCATGTCATAAGTTTATATGGCAGGAAGCTATTCCCCTTTTTCTTACCTCTCCAAACATAAATACCAATTCAGAGAAAAGTAGTATTCTATTCTTCCTAAATATAAAATGAGAAGGCAGAATTCCCTAAGTTCTAGGGCAAAGGAAGGAAGAGAGAGAGAGTGAGGGGAGGAGGCTAGAAGAAGGGAAGAAAGGAAAGAAAGAGAAGGGAATTAAGGAAAGAAGGAAGGAAAAGAAAAGAAAAAAACCCCAATCTCCATCTAAGCAGGGCTAGGTTTAAAATAAGGTCTTCGTTACTACCAAAACTTTTCCCCAAATCCAAAGAACACTGGCTGCTGCTTCCTTTATCCCAAAGGATGTATAGAATTCCAGTATTTTCCATTACCAGCTTAAGTAGTTTCCAGTGTTTTCTTAGAGCCAGACTGCATTCTAATTTCTCTTGGGGGAGTAGAAATCACGGAAAAATTAATGCTCTGTATAGCTATGTACAGAGTAATACTAGGGATGAAGATTAATCATGCATAGTACCAAAATCTCACTGAAGAGTATCTAACATGACTAATAGCATCTTTACCAAGCAAAATTTAGCATTAGTTCCAAGCAGTTCCTAGTCCATCAGAAGCTCTATCAAAACCATCAGCAGCTGCCAAGGAAACTATCCAGCTAAAGGCAAACTAAAGCAAGTGCTCACCTTTCTAGAATAAAAAATATACCTCTGAGTCTAATAGTGAAGCTAAGCATCCCCAAATTCAAGAGACAGCTAGCAGGCACCGTAAGGGAAGAGTCAGCTCAGTTAAGCACTTACTGTCCACATCAATCAAGCACTGCAGAGCAATACCATGCATTTCTTCCAAGTCACCCTTCTGAAACCTTGGGAATAACACTTGTACTTGGCTACAAGTTTTGTAACTATTACTACTATGTTCCTACACAATAAGAGCAGCCATTATTCTAGGCTGGGATTCTTTTCTCATAATTGAGAAGGCCAATTGGCTCCAAACCAACAGGATGGCTTTTAAAAGAAAAATCCACTGTAAGCTATAGAACTGAAGTTACAGTTTGAGTGGGATGCCATGTATAGTTGCTCTTTTCCTTTTTTCAACACAGATCCATTTAAGAAAAGAAAGGACTTGTTATATACATATTTATGTTTTGGGATTTCAGCACTCTTTTCATAAATGGTGGTATGCTGGAGATCTCAAACAATACTGTTATTTACATTTGAAGCATTTATGGTATCACAGGTATTTACAATTCATGGATCTAGGGTAGATACCTGTCAGGGATATTTCACTATACTGAAATTCCCTGGAAATTTGTAGAGTTCTGCCTTTGGGCACTTAGTCATTAAAAATATCTTCTCAGTTAATGTGACAAGTAAAAGAAGGTTGAGAAGCACGGTCTAAAATGGGGTAAATCCCACCACGTACACAGTTATCCTTCGAGTTTCTAAACGGGAGTAAAAATGAGCATCCAAGGCTGTCAAATGAAAAGCAGCACAGCAGTTCGAAGGAAGAAGTGTGTAGATGGACCATCTGTATGTGCTGTATGTGAATGAGCTTCAGGTGTGTGTAGCACCACTGTTGAGCCACATTTTCCCTCCATTCAGTGCAGGAGATGGGGAAAGTACAGAAGTGCAGGTTGGGGCCCCAATTTAGGAAACTAAGAAGGGCTCTGGGAGAAGGAATTGTTCTGCGGTTTCTGTAGACAGGACAGTGATCTATTTAAGAAGCAATGGGGTGAGCAAAGAAAGCAGAGCTCGGTCGTCCGGAAAAAGAAAGAGGAGTAGGAAAGAAAAGTACTGGGATCCACTGTCAGCAAGCAAGCAGAGCAGAAAGTGATCACAGAGACAGAGCGAGTAAAAAGAGCTCCCGGGTGCCAGGCATGGGGTCTAGTCTTTGAGGGGAGAGGGCTGTCCAGGCACCGGGAAGCGAGGGTGAGGCGCCTGCATCCGGTCTGCTCCTTATCCCCGCGTTCTCTCCACCACCCTCCACCCGACTCCCTGAGGCTGGAATAACCTTCTCCGTGCTCTCCGGTAGCTGAGAAAGCAGCTTTGGCTCTTCTGTGGTAACATGCCAGTGAGCTACGTCCACCTCCACACTCCCGGCACCGGCTCACAGGCTGTTGCCGGGACGCCTAACCCCTGAGGCCGGGGTGTGTAAATGAAAAGGGACACGGAGGCCTCCTGAGGACCTCCGACCACTCAAGACGTGGCCCGCACGTCCTCCACAAGCTCCCAGCTCCGACTGGCGCCCTGGGACCCGCACACACACCCCTCGGCCACTCGGTAGCGGCCATAACATTACCCGGGCAACCACACCGCCAAAGCCCCGGATGTGGTTGCTAGGGCAGCAGCGGGAGGGGTGGGGCCAGCCTCCTGGAGAGGGGCGGAGGGAGCCTCGTGGGAGGTTCGCTGGCACCATCGAGACGTGGCTGGGCCAGGCCTGATTGAGGGAGAGAGAGGCCGTCCAGGGCCAAGGACAACGTTACTTCCGGTCTGCTCACTTCCGGCTTCACTGCTCTTGGTGCTGGTTCTGGAGGCTGGGTGGAGAGGTTGCCGGTCCAAGTGTCTTCGGCGGTTGGTCAGTGTGAGCCTGTGACAGCTGCAGTTGCTCTCCGCCCCCGAAGATCCGAGGTGCGCGGGGGGAGGGGAAGAAGGAAAAGGTCTGGGTCGCGTTTCCGCTCACTTCTTGCCGGTGTTGAGGCGATTTATAGGGAGCAGCGGCAGGGATAATCCGCCACTTGAGAGCTGCCGGGTTCCCCCGCAGACAGGTGAGGGCGGAGCTGGCCCGCCGGGGAAGAGGCGGGGGAAAGATGGCTTGAGGTGGTTGGCGGGGCGGACACGTTGCCTCCGGGCTCGCCGTTCTGGACTTTCACAGGGAACTTCTGTGCGTAGTCTGTGCGGTGTCTATCCAAGGATCATTTTGGTATTTGACTCTTCGTTCCTCCTGTCCGTCTGAGTGTGCCCCCGAAACAGTCGGTGGAAGGGGTAGGACCGGCACTTCGAGGGCCGCACCCTCTTGGGAGTGCTTGCACGATCCAGATCTTTTTTGACTAAGTGTTGGAGTGGGCCACCTTCACGTCCGGTGTCCAACTTTTATTTTTCTCCTCCTCTCCCTGCATCCCCCACTTCCTCTCTGCCGCAACGAGAGGAAGGGAGATAGTGATAGTCCCTCGGAGAGGTTCATCTGGCAGTGGTGCAGGGAGGAGCCTTGCCTATGAAATGTCCCAAGCCTGACTGGTGATGAGGACGTCCAAGGAATGCTGGAGTTTTGCAAAGGGACTTGTGCTGTTGTCTTCTGGTCGATTCTTCTTTGCCAAGTTACTACTGTTTACGTGTCTAGGAAAAGGAAAGAGGGTGTTTTTTTTTAAACAGTTCTTAGATGCTAGACGTTTTTCCCTTTTACTTTATTATTACTTTGTTTTGTTTTTATCTTCCTTTTGAACTTTTTGATCTTAAAATGTTTGTACTTTACACTTCCTGCAAATCCTTTAGCCACTCTTTCAGGATTTCAGCCTCTCCTCACTTCGTTTTCTTTTAGATTATATAATTTTTCTAACTGGTTCTTATTTGATAAGAAAAAATGGAAGATTTACAGGACTTTTCATAAACTTGTGCTTTCACCTTCAAGGATTGCTCACATTTGCCATTTAATTAACTTCAGTGGCATAGAATGTGCACCGTTAAGGCTGCAGAAATTGACCATTTCATTGCCCGTGTCTCAGAGCAACTACAGATGACTATATTTAACTACTGTTTTAATTCTACTTTTCTCCCATTTGTCCTGTGGTGTGATTTTTTTGCGCACAATGTGACCAATGCCCTTTCCCAACCAAGTCTAACACTCATCTGAGAAAAAAGAAAATATTTCTAATCTTATTTTATTTTCTGGATTAAAATCCGAGTTACCTTGGTTCCTATTCACATTGATAAATTAGTTTTCCTTGGATTATGATTTCTCTTAGTTTTGGGTCATGACTTGGGGTCCCTGGTCAGCAACTTTCAGGGGTCTTTCTCATCCCCACTCCTGAAATTATATTCAAAGTTTTGTTTGAGTGTATTTTTCCCCCCCTGGGAAAAAATGTCCATTCTTTTTATCAAATTCTCAAAGGAGATGTACAAACTCCAGATGGATTTAAACCACTGCCTAGACAATGTGTTGTTTAAGTTAGTGTAAACAATTTTTTTGTGGAGCTGTAAATGGCTTGTTTTGGAACTAAGGAAAATAGAATGCAGGGATTCTAGCTTGATATTGAAATCGCTACTTCAAAACTTCACTGTTTCTGAACTCCTTCATTAACTTAGAGAAGGAAGTGAGACTGCCTACTTCAGTTCCTGATTTGTGGTTTTGAGGTTTCCTTTTAGGGATGGCTGTCTGTGGCCAATGCTCTGGAGATCAAGTGGATTTATAAACTGTTGTGCTTATCATTATCTAATACATATTAAATATCACCAATCTAGGTACAGTTTGGAATAAAACATTTAAATTCTGGTTGTTCTTGGCTTTCATTTTCTTATTTTTCGCTTGAGCTGTCTGCCCTAGGTTTTGGCTCTGCTAGGATGGGCAAACAAGATATTTCGGTAGTGTGGTCTGTGAGCCTTTGGTATGTTGCTGCTTATCTTGACATGCCCTTTCTCTCCATTCTGTATTAGGCATTTTAATGATTATTATTCTTGTGAATAAATTTGTATCCTTCCAAGCTTCATGTAAGTTTTAGAGTGCATGTTTGAACATATTCATTTGGTTGTGAAGTGTTTGTTGATTGAGGGTTGAAATTCTAAAGTGTGACCTTTTTTTAATTGAATGGTAACTTGAAGAGACCTATACAGCTCACCATAGTCTGTCTAGAGTAACCAGTTTCTTTTGCTTATAAAATGAAATAATTTTTCCTCTGTCTAGTATTCTCACTTGAGGGAGCAGTCAACATTACTTTGTAAAGAATAGGTTTGGCTAAGTTAGTTTCCTTCTAAGGTAATGGCAGATTCAAAAGATGTATTATATCTAACACCGTAACAACATTTGTGTTAATGTTTGTTTGCTTACTTTGCATCAGGCACCATGCTAAATGCTTTACATTACTCTCTATTGCTGTCAGCCACCTTATAAGGTGGCTAAAATCCCCATTTTTTAGACGAGGAAAGTGAAACTAAAGGACTACCATGTTCCCTGAAAATAAGACAGAGTCTTATATTTATTTTTCCTCAAGAAGACACCCTAGGGCTTATTTTCAAGGATGTATTATTTTTTTTAAGTATGGTTCAACAATCTACATTTATTCAAATATAGTTTAGTCGTCTTCTTCTGGAACATCATCATAACTCTCCAAACCTCGAATTCCATCCTGAATTTCTTGTGACTCTGTTTCCTTTAGAACCATTGCCCCCAGTCTCTTATGTCGAGCAATAGAGCCCTCATGGGGCAGATGAGAAGGGCTGCTCTTCTTCTTTACCACTCCGTGATGAAATGTATGGGTTGTGCAGATATGCTGTGTAGCCACGCCCATCACTAGGTCTTATTTTTGGGGTAGGGTTTATATTGCACAAATGCTTAGAAATCCTGTTAGGGTTTATTTTATGGGTAAGTCTTATTTTTGGGGAAACACGGTAACTGAAGCTAAAGTAATCTGCTCAGAATTACAGTGGTAGGGCCAGGATTTGAACCTTTAGGTTGTCTGATTCCAGATTACTGTTGTAGACAATTTCCCCACCATACTTCCATTATATCATTATATCCTTTTTGGAATAAAAGTTGGGGATATCTCACTGGCTGCTTTACTTTCTTTCTTTCCTTTCTTTCTTTCTTTTTTTTTTTTTTTTGAGATGAGGTCTCAAAAAGATATATCTTTCAGGCTGATCATGAACTCCTGGGCACTAGCAGTCCTCCTGCCTCAGCCTCTAGAGTAGCTGGGATTATACCTGGCTAATTTTTAAAATAACGTTTTTAGAGACACAGTCTCACTGTGTTGGGCAGGCCGAAAAAAATCAATCTATTAGTCATTAAGAAAAGGTCTTTTTTCCTTTATTAATCTTCAGTAGATGAACACCCGGTTGAATATCATACTGAAAAGTATGACAAAACAAAGTGAATTTGGAGGAGGCCTATGGAATGGTAGTGGATAGGATTTTCTCATGGTGATGGATATAAGTCTTTGGGGTATGTGTATGTGGGTGTCTATTATGATATGTGAGGAGTGGACAATGTGAAAATAAAAGATAATTTGGCATCTTAAGAGTCTGAAAGTATAAATAATTTTAAATGATTAATTTAGGATGGAGGAAAGAATAAATTCAATAGGAAACTTAAAGGTAATATGGCTATGGATGAAAAAGTAACAGTATTTGTACAGTCTAAAAGTCAGATATGTAGCTGCATTACTTCTGGGATGTATGAAAAAGACTATAAAACAAAAGGGGGCTGGGTATGGTGCCTCACCCAGATAATCTCAGCACTTTGGGAGGCCACGGTAAAAAGATTGCTTGTGCCCAAGAGTTTAAGCCCAGCCTGGGCAACATAGCAAGGCCCTGTCTCTATGAAAATAAAATAAAATTAGCTGGGTGTGGTGGCGTGCACCTGTAGTCCCATCTACTCAGGAGGCTGAAGCAAAAGGATCCTTTCAGCCCATGAGTTTGAGACTGCAGTGAGCTGTGATTAGGCCACTGGACTCCAACTTGGGCATCTGAGGGGAGACCCTGTCTCTAAAAACAAAAAACAAGATAGTCTGAAAATAAACTTGTTATCTTTAGTCTACTAGCTTTAGGCAGTCATAGAAGCCACTGAGTAGCTCTTGCATATTATCAGCTATTTACGAGACAAAAGTACACATTTTCTTTTTTTCTTTCCTTTATTCCTTTTCCCTTCTTCTTCTCATTTCCTTCTCCTCCATTTCTTCTAAACCTTTGTTTTAGGATGGGCATAGGCAGGTGTTATTTAGCCCTGTTAGCAGTTGATTCCTGAAAAAGGAATATAAGGTCTCTTGAAGTACTTTTTTTTCTCTAGCAAACATATTTATTTAAGTGAATACTCTTCTTCAGAGTAGGCAGTCTGCTTTGAAATCTACTTCTAATACTACTGCCAATTCAGACTGAGACATATGAAAGTGAGAAGTTCTTGCTTGGCTTTGTCACTTCACCTTAGTCACTAGAATCTGAATAAGTTTGAGTATTTGGAAAAAATCAGATCCTCTCTCAAAAGACAAAGATTTGCCACCAAAAAGGATTTTTAAAATATTTTGGGATCCGAAGATGAATTGTAAAACTAGCAATTGGTCAAATCCTTTGTAAAAATAATAGCAGTATTTTTGCCATGTTCTAACCTAAGAGTTATTAT